TTGATTTTAACGTTGATTTAACGTAAGTTGTTTTTAAATAAAAACGGTATAGGATGTTTAAACATTATAAATTCATCCAAACTATAAATCTTACTTATCACTTAACGCTTTGACCAATCTTTTACTTTTTGATACATAATTGCTCATCGTTAGTAGGCCTAAAATTTAAAGTTAGTTATAAATTCTTTGGAATTTTTAGACTGCACTCAAACTGTTATTGATGTTATCGTGATTTCCACACAGCGATGTCGTTATTCTTTATAAAGGATCTAGATAAAATAATTGAAAAATGACTGTTTAGTTGGTACACTTAAAACTATGCTTAAATTCATCAAACAAATTCTAATAACTTTCAGAATAATTTGTTTTAACACACGTACTTTTGTAAGGATTTAATTTTCTTTTGAGTAAGACGTAAGATAGTAAAAATAATAATATGGTTTATCTAAAAACAATTATATCAGATGTTAGCAGAACAAATAATATCTTAATAATCATCCTTAGAAAATGAATTGCAATATTGCATACACACAATCATAATGAATTGACAGTTACTTTATTACTGAAGAGAAAGTAAATTTTATTTTTTTTCTGTAGAATCTTTCCTGTGAAGAAAATATTTTCATCAGATGTTTACCTTACTCACCGTAATCTTCATAAAACCTATGTAAAACAAAACCAATAATTTGTGTTTGGCTAAGGTTTTTCTTTTAGACATCCGTTGAACAAACCTAAACCACGTTTTCAATTAGATCATTAAGTAGGACCAACATTTAAAACCAGAAACGTAAATGTTTTGTCAGATAATAAAAAAAAAATTAATACATATATACAGCATATTACAACTATAACGGTGGAGAAACTAAATATTTAAATATACAATAAACGAATAATGATGTTATGATAACTGCAAGTGCAGAATATGGATAAACAGACATCATAACTATACTTTAAAGATGTTACTCTTAGTTAAAGTAATAACATAAAACCAACGTATATGTATAATACCCCCGCCGCAGCAAACCTGCCGACTAAGCGAATTTCCATTTGTCTGAATTGATTTTCAGTTAAATATATTTTAATAACATTATGTTTAACGAGTACCTAGGTTTGCTGCTACAAGGGAATTAATAAAGTGTGTTTTTGAGTAAAATATTGATAGCTTAGTAGAAAATAAATAAATTTGCCAAGTTTGATCAAAATATATCCATAAACAAGCAAACTACAACATTTGACAATATTCTCCATAAGAATAACATGGGAATTTTAAATTAACAATTTTTTTAATTTTCTCCGTTACTAATAATCGAACAAAAATACTTTTATACACTAAATTATTTGTTTTTTTAAGCTCTTTAAAAAGGTCTAAAGATAAATCGGGAAATTTTGTGTTCTGAGGGTCAAAAGTGAGAAAAACCAATTTTTACCCCATAAAACCCCCCGTAAAGCCCCGTTCCCATGATCCGATCGTGCTGGTTCGCAAACTCATTCAAGTTTATCCCGCTTTACACCTTTAAACCAAATTTCATCAAAATCGGACAAAAATTACTCAAGTTATCGCGTTCACGGACGTATATATATATATATATATAAGTCTATATATATATATATATATATATATATACATATATAAAAATTTGAACGAATGGTGTTTTTGGCCTCTGGGGACATCAAAATGAAAAAGTAAATTGGTCCCGGGTCTAGGTCTTGCCGTGCCACCTACGGTAATAGCTACTTCCCTATAGGGAAATTCGCTAAAAGGTCTCTGGGATTCAATGACAGTATAAAACAGCTCTATCTAAAACATCTTAAGCAAGAAAAGCACTAAAAGTGAATGTTTCTGAGCGTTTTTCCTCTCAATGGTTCACTAAAACTTATCAAACTTCTTTTACTAACTTCTCCAAGTGTTCTTGACAATACAAAAGGCTTTTGTTGAGAACTTTGTGTTGCGCTGGATAAGAGCACTATGTGGATATAAATCCTTTATTTTTAATTGAATTCTTTATCGTTACAAAATATTTTATGGCCAAAGCTGAGCAAGAAATATCTATAGATGACAAAAATTTTTAAATAGTTATTCTAGCATAGATAAAATACGGTGTATTTTATAAAGATACGAGAAAGACGAAAATTTAGTAAAATTATATCACATTTATAACAATGCTGTATGTAGAAGGAACCCCTAAACTTGTTAAAACTATTAGGGTGTCTTGCAGTTCCCTTGAATGAATCTTTAGACTTTTTATTGATCCTTTGCAGTACATAATCATTTGTAATAGGCGTATTTTATTACTTATAATAAGGAAATATAATTGTATTTCAGAAACAATATATTGAGCAAATCATCCCATATACTAAGCAGATCACTTAGTAAATTAAAAAAGTAGCATTTTTATTAATGGTTTTCTGCTTTGATCATTACAGCATCTATGAAACTAATGTTGATCTTTAGAGTATGATTTAAATCTCAGGGGAAGAAATTAAGTTAACTGTTTGAAACTCTATGGACCTTATAAAAATGAGAGACCGGCTTGGGTGGAAGTTGACGGCATTATTGAGGTTTGGGGATTGCACATAACACCTGTTTTGCTACTTTTTACATTAGTATAGAGGTGGGAGATATACTTTGTTGCTTTTATTTCGTTTTTCAAATGGGCATATCGTGTTGCAATACATATGTATAAAAGATATAACACAACATAACATAAAAAATAATAATATTTGTAGTAAATAGTATAAATGCTGATTTCTGCAGCTTTGCAATTTCAAAATTTTCACACAAATTCTCTTATAACCTTTTAACTTTAAAGATAAAACCAAGAAATTTAACTAATAAAAATAGATTTAATTAACACTTGTGACTTTTAGGTACATCAAACAAATTTAGTAACCGGTAAAGACCATCTTATATTTTTTTGGCAAAATATAACCAAAGAAAACTTTTAGAGTAAACAAGTTTTATGCTTTATAAGCTAAGACTACCTACTGTAATACTTTAGCGAAGACCTTGAATTCTTAATGATCAAGGACAGTTGGGCCCATTTTCATTAAAAAGCCACTGACATCTCTCTGAATTAAAACGTAAACTATCTGATCAGCAGGGGACTTTGACCAATGATGAACAAACAAAACTATATACAAGTATATTTTTCAACTTTAATTATATCTCTACTCGTTCCCGCAGAAAATTCAATTCCTCATTGAATGAGTGAGTATTGGTTCCATCGATCTGCTTTCCAATCAGTTGTTGCATCGTTGTTAATGGTTGTAGCCTCCAGTCGTTATCTATGTTGTAATAGGAGGTTGATTGAAAACCCACGTGTAAAGTGGAAAACAGAAACTAAATTGACTCGAGTTTTCGCAGTATAAACATGTGTTCAATATATCAACTGTTTATATAAACTTCTATTAGCGTTTTTGGTTAATTGACTGCCATTAACTAATCCCTAAACGATGGCTTGTTAACAAACTAGGAAAGATTATATTATCCACTCATCTATAAAATGCCTTTTTTATGAAATTATAAAAATTAATTTTCTCTTCTTTGTTTTATTTTTAGTAAAAAATATGCATATTATGGAGTTACTAAGTACGGCTACGGATTATTTAGAGTAGAAACCATAAAAAAAATAATTTATTTTTGCCAAGCAAATTTTTAATGCACGTTTTGTATTCTTAAAAGGGATTTACGAAATCCTATTTAAGTCCTGGTTGATAAACGTATAGCCGACATAATGTTATGGTGCTTGAGATGGAGGATTCTGTGATAATTAATTATTGAAATTTACATATTTGTATTAAGTAATTATTTATGCTTTCCTCCCCACTTGTATTGTTTAAAGCTATAATAAATAGGAATTTATTTTAATAACTAATGGCAAATGTTTGTTTATTTATAAAAAACCAAAACCATACCGTACCAATAAATAAGTTCGTCATCATTATATTTGAATTTTAAAAAATCTGAAAAACTAAACGATGTACCATAATAACTATTACTGAAGAAAGACTATGTGTTTACGACAGGAAAAAAATACAGTTTCTTATATGATTGATTAAAAACATACACACACACTCTTAATGAAACTTAAAAATGTTTTCAAAAAAAGAAACATAATAAACTGTTAATATAAGCGACGTAGACAAACTGACGGAACCCAAGACGTGCCACGTTGGAAGAAGTAACAGCTGCTCTTGTAAGTTGATTACAACAGTCAAGTTGCGGAGGCAACAGGTGCGACGTCACGAATCGATGATTGGCCACGTGACTTCCCCCACCACCGACCACACCGCCACTTAGGTGAATCACTGTTGCCAATCACTCACTGATTAAAATCGCCTGTTTACGTTCGTTATTGATTAAGTGCAGTTTTATTGGCAGTGATTTGTAGGATTAGTTTTTTTTATACATTTTTTACTTTACGTTTCCAATTACCCAGGATAGTAGTCATTTTATAACATTTCCAATTTAAATGTTTTTGTTTTGGAGTAAATATGGACTTTTTTATTTGACGATGTTGACAAAATCCACTATCTTTTGATGTGTCAAAAGTGGGCCTAGACTGTCAGTATTGGGCTTGAATGTCAAAAGAAAAATCTGGCCCATGTCAGTAGAAAGACTACACAAATATTCTCACCTCATTCTATCCTTACCTTGCGTTCATATTTAGCCTAAAGTACACATAATTAAGTGGCTATCTTACGTAATGATATTAAAAATTAGTACAAAAACTAAGTTCATCGAGCGTGTTTAAAACTAACATACTTGACATTAGTACAATCATTGACAAATAGAATTAAATATAGAACAACAACAGTGCTGGGGTTAGCATAAATTCTGTCGGCCACCGCTGGGAGTGACATGTAGTTGCGGCGAACGAGATACGTAACTACATGGCACCCCCAGCGGTGGACGCCAAAACTTATGCTAACCACAACACTGCCGCCAGTTTATATTTAACTCCAGTTGTTTATGGTACAATGCACAACAAACACCATACCTAGTTTGCTGGGCTGGGCCAGTGTTGTGAAGGCGTCCTTGAAGATGCTAGCAGGTTGGTTGGGATGCTTGATGGCGTTCATTCTACGGTTGATCACCCCCGCTGTGGTCGCCGCTGGGCACTCGCCCCTCTTGGGCCTCGGCTGCTCGACCGGCAACACCCTCCGCCTCCTCTTAGGCAGCTTTGACCTTGCCTGGACATGATACAAACATTTTATTACGTAATTTTAAACCGGTTATTTGTGTATTCCTTTGGTAAAAATTGTATCCTAATACAAAACAGCTGCAGAACAGCTGTAAACAGCTGTAGAACAATATTCATTGATAATTAAAATCGTTGAATAAAACACTCATGGAGAAGTTAACAATATGTAGCTCCTCAGTTACATACTGTGGCAGATGAGTTCATAAACTTGCTATAGCTTACAATAGGTTGTGCTTCAAGGTTGGCTTGGTAAAAAAATTGACGTTTAAAATCTAAACTAGTAGTTTCTACCAGTCCAATTTGTCGGAGTCTTAATGTAATAACGTTTATTTGAGTTTTAAAATCTGCAACAAATTTTACATGGGAATATAATGTCTAGATATACAAAGTCAAATTTTACGACAGGCATTGATAGTTAACCCGTTAAGCCATTGAACTCATTATTCCGTAAGATTTAAGATTTTCCGTAAGATTTTCGTTATGTGCTTCTTAAATAACTTATAAATCAGCATGGTACGTATTATTAAATTACCTGAGTGATTTTGACTAAACTCTTTCTTATTTTGTAGGTAACGTGTCACTGTATGAATTATATGGAATTCGTTACAATTAAAAATTACAAGCAATAGTTTTCACAAAGGTCCTATTTCAAGGTTGTTACCATTTGAAAGTTGGGGAAACCTTATCAATAATTGCTTCTAATATGCTACTGGACTTGTTGTTTTTAAGAATGTGTAACCAATGGTAACATATTACACTGAATATACACTGTTATCTATATAAACCCAGTATAGTTGAAAAGTATCGAGTTGAAGTTAAGTATTCCATTCGATGTACATTTTATCCTCATTGGTACATGTCAAGAAGAATTTGAGCGAGCTTACAACCAGAGGCGATGTCCACTCACTACCACGCTACACGTGGCTCTACCAAGTTAGATGTACCGAGAACACGCCTAACAAGCACACAACGCCGTTTCCCTGCCATGGCATTGAAGCTGTTTAACAAGCTGCCCTGACTTGAGAAACCTTGAGACCAAGAAGTTTGAGGGAAAAATGAAAGACCAACTTACTCAGTCGGCCTATTTCTCCATCAAGGATTTTCTTGAGGATAAACTAGTGAGTAACTGACTCAAACCCCTATTCCACCCGCCAAGTTTGTGAGTTATTTGTACATAATATTATTTGAAATTTGACAAGAACATTTTATTTTGCTATTTTAATTTAAAATTAAGAAAACTGACGCAGTTAATCCAGTAAACCTGGTCAAAAACGAAGAGATGGTATTAAGGTATTAAGGTATTAGATAAGTTTAATCAAGTCACAAAGCCTCATAGTAACAAATGATGTTATCTGTTTACCAGTCTTAATAAAAGTACACCTAAAATTTACTTTATTCAACAATTGAACATGTTTTTTTTATGATGAAAATAATAACATACCCTGAAAAGGTATTTTTGGAATAATTTAAGATACTTTAAACTGTACAGTAATAACTGTAAACTATGATGAACTGTAAATAAAAGGTAATCGTAGTTTACTTAACGATTGTGTAAAGATAGTGTTAACTACACAGGTAGAAAATTAAAGGTACGAGCCTTAGCGAGTGCCTTAAACACTTCTACGAGTGCCGTTAACACAATTTACGCGAGTTGCGTGCACTACCTTTACCTACGACGGCTTTTAATTACTAAAAATCACTATTTAGATCTTCTAAGAGAGATTATGTTTTCGTTTATAACCTCTCATTGCCACTGGCAGTGATGCAACGAAACATTGTACCAAACACTAATTGCACCAATCAACAATTAAATTGGCCTGAACAGCTGATTAGTTGAAGTCCGAATCATTACAATTTTACTTTTCCTATCTCAATAATTTAACCTCATTGGTCCGTTACCCGTGTTGTTATCAGTAAATCTATGCTGTTATGTGAAACTTTTCGATTCTAAGAACTGAACTGAAACGGCTATTAAAAAAAACGGTCTAAGTAAATATTTTAATATAATATCAATTATTGTCCTCTCTTTGAACGTTGATTGATTTGATCTAAGACGAAATAGACGTACAGTTAAACTCAAAATGATATACGTTTTGTAGCTATAACTCTACGAACAACTCTAAGAATTCTATGGACATCATGAGGATATACAGTACCTAAAAAAATAAAAAATATCACATTTAATTTATGCTTGTACAATACTGCTGAATATAAGAAGAAAATGTTTGCCGTATAAATCATCACTCATATTAATTTAACTTAACCAAAAATACCACCAACTTGTATTGTGATAATGGAAGGGTGACAAGAAGGAAAATCTACCTAAAATGCCTTCAATTCAATCCTGTCACAAGGATGTGGAACAATAAAGGAAAGGTCACAGAGGCTCAGAGATATATTTCTATCTTTATCTGAAAATCTTCTTTAGACGGTCTCAAGTGTGTTTCATATGGCTGAATATCTCTCACAGTATGCAAAAATATTATTTTCTTTTCAAACTAATGTAAACAATTTTTTTATCTTAGAACTTTAATAGTGTCACAAAATTGCCTAGTTTATATGCTTTCGTCATAGCACTTGTGAAACAAACTAATAACATAGTATTTATGACGCAGTGCTTAAAATATAAAAATTGATGTTTAAAAATATTTCATTGACAACTATCATACTAGCTAAGGTTTTGAAGGTCCATAATACGTATTCTAACTTTTTTAAGCATAACTACACTTGCACTTATCAGTTTTTCCAATTCGATCTAATGATTACCTAGAAATTGGTTGTCATATTTAAATATCGTATATTTCTGTTGCACTCCTTGTGTTCCGTTTGAATACATTGGAAACATTTAAAAGAGTTTATTTATTCCTTATAATGATAACACTACTTAAAATGAAATAACGTATACATACACTTTGAAGTTATGACTTATCTAATTACTGATATATTAAAAGTAACAATAGACTTTTTTTATGACACGTTTTTATACAAGAAAACTACTTCGCTCGAATTCTTTTTCCACATTTTATAAGAACTCTGAGATAAATTCGCTTTTGATGTATTGAATCCTAATGCTTTTTCTCGGTCGGTGACAATCCATTTATTTTGAGACCACCGATGATTAAGGATTACAAAAAGGAAAATAAATAAAGCGTGTAATTTATTTCATTGGTGCTTTTATTTTCCATGTGTGTTGATAATTTTGCCAAAATGATCCTCTGACAAGATGTTTTCAGTGTAATATGTATGTTACAATGTGTGATTCTACCTTAAAAATAAAGAAAATAGTTTGCTGTAGCTAAATTTAACGCTGTGCATAAGTGTATTATGTTAAAAAATAATCAATTTCATAAAGAAAATGAGCTTATATTGTTCTGTTGAAGAATAGTATTGCAAAAAGGTTGTTTCATTAGGCTAATTTAAAGTTAAAGCTAGCTATGTTAAATTTAATGAAAAATGCATTATATCAATACTACAATTAAAACTCGGTTTTATGTTATAATTTTTATTATTCACAGCGATATTGATTTTGATTTTTTAGGATTACTTAATAACAACCTTAAAACCTTGGCAGAAAAAAAGCAAGACGAACAATGTTTGATATGATACAACACTACCCTCTTTATCAAACATAGAATAATGATTCTACCATGTATATTCATTTTTAATAATTTACTATCTGTCAAAGAAAATCTGTCTTAGTTCCCAAAACGTAACGAATTTCACAATTATAATACAAGTAAATGTAACCAGCTTAATATTCCGATAGTAAGATTATCAAACATATACTAATAGCCACAAATTCCTCCAAGCACAGCTCTTTAAAGCTACCTGTACTCTTTCAAGAGCTTACCTTGGTTAAATTCAAAAATAAATTTGCTGATTGGCTTCTTGACAGAAGTTTTAATTTGGTAGAAGATTTTTTAGAATATCAAATATCTAACTTATGGTAGTTTCATTCCTGTTGTAGTTTAGTTTCTATCAGTACACTAGACCTAATCCATAGACTACTAGTATTTGTCCTGACGTTGTCCATTGTACACTTGTATGTAATGACAATGAAGATATTCTTTACATATCAATCAATTTTTTTACAATCCAGTTGATAGTGTTTGGAAGTCATGACGCTTGAATTATTGAAGTGTAGTCCATAAACTACAGGTAAATGGCAGAGTTCCAAACTTGGTTACTTAAATACGGATTTTGGTTTCCTGAATTATAATTCGTGTATATTATACTGGTCAAAAATGTCTGCTGACAACTCAATTGTCCGTATACTAATTAGAATCAAACCAAATAAATTTAAATCCGCTGCTAAAGCATGTAGACAGGCAAATGTGAGGAAAAAAAGAACTCCATTTCTTAAAAAAAGATCATTGTGTCACAGGAAAAAATAAATTTGAAAAACACTTAAGTTATTAAATATATTAAGCTTAAAAGAAATTAAGTTGCTACTTAAAGCTATGCTAGAAATTTACTTAATAAATGTTTTAGTTACTAACTATGTTAAAATTAACGGAAGAGCAGAATATTAAAGTCGAATAAGACGGTCTCTTGGGTAGAAACTTAGTGGCAACAACGCGATCCTTAGAACAAACAAACTTTACTTATTTAACTTCATAAATATTACTAGTTATCACTTATGTGAACCCTAGAAATGTTGCTGCAAAGTGGTGTTTTCTAATTATTTAAAATATAGTACAAATCTAAAAGGTTATAAAACATTGGTTCTGTTGTAACAAATGTAGCTTTGGCTACACAATAGTTACTCTGCGAAATGTTTAATTTTGTCAAATCAATCTTGTATCGTTTGATACAAGCCTTTTTGTTCAAGCCTAAATTAAAGTCTATTAGGTTCAAATCAGTAACACTCAGGCAACCCTATAATATTCGTGTCCGTAAATCTTCCTGACTATTGCTGTTCAAAATAGATTACCTTTTGTTAGGGAACACTTTTTAGATATAAAAATCCATGACAAATTCTATAATTTT